TGCACTGGCTATCACAAACATGGGAGACACATTACAGAGCTGCTTCTCTTGAAGAACTCCCTACATGTCCCGCTAACGTGCGTAGGTATGGGTCCCAGCCAAACGTTGTTGTTTTCATGTTCTAATACCAATCAAAGAGTTAACAGAAATTAGTAACAATCATAGACCGTTAGCTCTAGAAGGGACCTGAGACCAGCCCACTGGTCTTTTGGATGAAGTCTGAGGCTCCAAGCCTAACGGCCTGTGCTGGCTCTGTGAAGGGTCTGAATCACACCAATTTAAAGAGAGAGCCCTCTGTGCTTCATTACTCGGTCTTCATTGCCCTTCTGTGATGTGCAAGGCACCGTATGCTACATAAAAATTCCAACCGGAAACTTTCCACGGGAAACACCAAATCCTAAAATTACCATTTTTAGGAGGTCTTTTGAAATGTCCTAAGCAAAGTATGAAGATGTGTACATATGGTTCTCTATATATTAAGATGAGTGTGCATGTGTGTGTTTCTGAAAGCCCTGCCCGTCTGGGACCTAGAGCTGTCCAGCAACCTCATCTGTTGAGAGCTTGACCAAGAACGGGAAGGACGCCCCTGCCAGGTACCGGAGAAGCCACACTAAGTGACAGGATATTCTTGCTCTGCACTCCCAGGAAAGCCCCAAGGGCTCACTTAGAGCCTGTGAGCACTAACTTTAGACACAGCTGTACCAGACATGGCCCTCCTGTTTCCAGGTGTGGACGGGGAGCAGCAGGTGAGAAGGACGCTGCAGGGGGACTGAAGGCACTCTGACCGGAACAGATGGAAAAGCTCAGAGCAGGCAAAGAGCAAAAGTACCGGAGCTCAAGTTCATTATGCCACAAGAGCCAACTCTATGTCTCATAGAGCTCTGAGAGATGGGACATGAACTCAGGGAGAATGGCCCCCGTCATTCAGCCAAAGTTAGGTAGTTTGTGTTAGGGCAGGCACTAAGAAACTAAGCAACTTAGAAAGATGTGTATCCAAAGGAGCTCCAATTTATTTATTTATTTAATGGTTTTTAAACAAATAAAATCATAAGGACCTGGAAAACTCAGCAAAATGGCCTGTCTGCCGAAGATTCTGGAATATATTCTCATCATTCCTGGCTCTGATCGGTCTTTCAAACCTACAGTAAGGGAGAGTCCATTCCCCAAATGGAACATGTACTTTATCTGAATGATCTTAGCAAGGATGGAAAAATTACTGAAGTTTGTGAAGCACTTTGTAAATTAAAAGTTGATTAATGTTATCAGGTATTTGCACAGTTTTCTTTTCATATTAGAACTGGTGTTTTTGTGCTCATGGGTATTTTTTCCTCTCCTTTTAAAACAAATTCAGATTAATTTTACATTTTCCATAAAGTCCCCCATTGTGACATATACAATATATTTTTCTTCCATAGAGAATTTCACATTTTTCCACCTGTCAAATATTTCCCTCTTTTTTACCTCACACCCACTCTGCCATCTACTCTCTACCAACCACTCTCCCTGCTTATAGCCTCTAGCGTCCATACCCTTCCTATCTACCATCACATTGTCAGATCACTCAACCTCTGCCAGAAAGTGCAGACACTCAGTACAAATTCAGTGGGGATATACAATGTGTGTCTTTCAAAGTCTTTCTCGCTTTGTTCAACATTAAGTCTTCTATATTCATCCACTTTGAGTCAAGGATCTCATTATTTCTTATAGTTGAGTAATATTTCATGTATATGCCATAGTTTTTCAACCCAGTCATCAGTTTTTTGACACTTAGGTTGGTTCCATGTTTTAGCAATTGTGAACAATGCTGCAGTAAACATGGATGCAAAAGTGTCTTTTGAATTGAGCATTTCCCTAGCTTTTGGGTAAATACCAAAGAGTGGGATTATGGGTCATATGGTAGTTCTATTTGTAGGTTTTTAAGGAACCTCCATATTGTTTTCCACAGAGGTTGTACTAATTTACATTCCCACCAACAATGTAAGAGGGTTCCCTTTCACCGAAGCCTAAACAACACTTGTCATTTTTTTTCCAACCCTAGCCATTCTTTTTTTCTTTATTTTAGAGACATTTTTGTTATAGGGCACGTGTGCTCACCAAAGAAAGAGAAAGCAAGAAATCACCCCCCAAGTGGGAATGACCATGTGATAGCCCCTTCTCTTCTATTCTCTTGAGATTTGGGGCATGCCCAGCATGAGTTTTAAGTTACTGGATCTGGGACTCAAACTACAGCTGACTGTGTGGGAGTCCAACAATATAACCATTTCGCCATCTACTGGTCCCTAATTCTAGCCATTCTAACTGGGGTTAAATGGTATTTCATTGGAGTTTAATTTCCATTTCTCTTATGACAAGACTTGGAACAGGTTTTCATATGCATTTGGGCATATTGGTCTTTTTTGTAAAGTTGTTTATTCAATTTGTTTGACCATTTTTTAATTGGCTTATTTATTTTTGTACGGGCAAGCTGTTTAAGTTTCCTATATATTCTGAATATCAATCCCTTGTCTAAAGAATAATTTGCAAATATTTTCTCCCTTTCCTAGGATTTTATTTTCACTCTAATTATCGTTTCCTTTGCTGTGAGGAAAGTTTTTAGCTTAATGTAATCCCCATTTGTCTATTTTAGAGATTATTGTCTGTGCTTTAGGGGTCTTATTTGAGAAATCTGTGCCTACTCCAATGTTTTCAAAAGCTTCCCCTACATTTTCTACTAGTAGTTTCATAGTTTGAGGCTTCATATTTAAATCTTTGATCCATTTCGAGTTCATTCTTGTTAATAGTGAGAGATAAGGGTTGGTCCAGTTTCATTTTCCTGCAGATGGATATCCGGTTCTTCCAGCACCATTTGCTGAAAAGACTTCTTTTCTCCACTGCATTGTCTTGTATCCTTTGTCAAAGATCAATTGACTGTATTATTTGGAGTTTATTTCTGAAATCTCTAATCTGTTCCATTGGTCTACATGTCTATTTTTATGCTAGTACCTTGCTGTTTTGATTATCATTGCTTTGTAAAATATTTTGAAGTCAGGTAGTGAAATATCTCCAGTTTTTTTGTTTTTGCACAATATTGCCTTGGTGATATAGTCTTTAATGATTCCTGAAAATTTTATTATTTTATTTTTGTTTCTGTGTAGAATGTCACAAGCAATTGATTTGGAATCAAATTGAATTTGTAAATGAATTTGGGTAGAATTGACATTTTGATTATATTGATTCTTCCAATCTAAGAACACAGGATGTCCTTCCCTTTTTTTGTATCGTAATTTCTTTTTTTTCAGTTTTTATAGTCTTCCTTGTACAGGTCTTTCACCTCTTCAGTTAGGTTTATTCCTAGGGATTTTACTTGTTTTATAGCTACGGTGAATGGGACGGCTTTCTTCAATTCTGTCTTCGTATATTCACTATTGATAAAAATACTATCAATTTTTTATATTGACTTTGTATCCTGCTACTTTACTGAATTCATTTATCACTTCTAGGCTTTTTTTTTTTCTTCATGGATTCCTTTGTATTTTCTGTGTTTATAATCCTGTCACCTGCAAAAAGAGACTGTTTAGCTTCTTTTCCTATCTGAAAGCCTTTTGTTTTGTTGTCTTGTCTGATTGTGTTGGCTAGGACTTTTGGCCCTACATTGAAAAGGAGCGAAGAAAGTGGGCAGCCTGTGTGCTCATGGATTTTAAATCTTGGTTTTATACAGAGGGAAGAAACCCCCTCTGTCTGTTACAGGAGGCCTGACGGATGGGTCACTTGTGCCACTCCTTGTGGCCCCTAATCCTTGAGGTGTCATGCCAAGGGATACATGGGTTGGGCCTTTCTCCACGTTTGGGCTCAAAAGCAAGAAACTATTCCAGAGCCCACTCTTCACTCCTCAGTAGACACAACAAAGGGTCACTCACAGTAACTGAAAGAAACTGTCTTCCCCGCATCCTTAGCCTCCTCAGAACACCCTCCACTATTTTCTAGGTAGAACGACTGTCATTAAGATCACACCCCCATGTCTTTCCCGTCTGTGTCCTTCTCTGTTCTTCTTACTCTCTGTGTTCTGTTTATACCAACCATGTCAACATCTCACTAAGCAGGTTGTCAACTAGGATGGGCCAGCTGGTGGCACAGCAGTGTACAACAGGACCCACGCGGGGCAGGTCCTGAGATCATGTCCTGGTACCTCTCTACACGCAGGGTGCGTGTGTGCCTATGATCCAGGTTAGCAGACACTGGGGTGGATCACAGTGTAAAGAACCTGTTTGCAAGAATGCCCGTCTCCCTCTGTCCCTTTCTGTCTGTCTGTCTGTCTGCTGGAAGAAATAAATAAATAAACCTTTAAAAGTAAATAATAAAAGGGATTTTTTTTTAATGGCATAGGACAAGCAAACACACAGGGCAAGTGCTAGACAGACATGCTGCCTGACTCGCTCCCTCATTGCAGTGGAATTTCAGCTCCAAAGAGGAGCATTTGTGGTCACCAAGCAGAAAGAGTTCGGGGGCAACGTCACACCACCTGTGCGTTCTCAGAGCATTTGCCGCCAGCTCACACCTATTCAGTCTGGTGAATAGTGAGATGCTGATAACCTTTGCGAAGTTGCATTCCAGTGTAATAACAAGGATGCATTTCTATTTATGTTACACACAGGGTTGAAATAGGCCAACTGCTGCTTATCCATGATGTTTTTTTTTTTAATTACAAATGTGTATCTAAAGAAAAAAATGGCACTCACCTCTCCATAACATTACAATAAATAATATCTGTACATTGAAAGGAAATTGTATTCCTTAAGTCCTAGGCTGGGATAGACGATTAGGGAACACATTGCAGGGTTACTGTAAGGACAGTTCTTCACTGTAATGACATTTACCCTTAATGTAACTTCAGAGTACTTCAGTGGAAAAGTCTGCCGTAAATCAATGTCCGCGCCAGATCTTAGGGACTCGGCAGTCTCTGCCTCAGGAAGCCAGGCATAAAAAGCATTGAGATCTGCACTTAACTATTCTTTGTGTTTCAGCATGCACATCTCCGAAAGCCAACAAGAATTCTTCAGAATGCTGGACGAAAAAATTGAAAAGGTAAGTAAAAGGAGTTACGTGTTTCAAGGGATATGTGTTAGTGGTTTCATAAGTTAGAGTAACAATATTCTTGTCTCTGTATCATGAAGCTGGGGTTTTTTAAAGGGGTTGGGTAGAGAGTTCAAACAAAATCCACATCCTTGGGGGGGAAGAAAGAGAGCGTGTGTGACAATGTTTGATGTGGAGCAGAGCTTCCCACCACCCTGGGATGCCCTCATTCAATGAACGGTACAAACTCAGGCAGAAGTTAACAAGCACTTTGCCTAGACGGAGCATTCTTATCACTGCGGGCTGTTTTGCACCTGATGTGTGGTAATCTCAGATGGCAGGAGCCCTTAGTACCAGCTAAGACCTGCTGAGCGTGTCCTGGGTCCAGCTGGGCTCTGAGTTCTTCACAAACATCTGTACCAGTTCACTCAGTGCTCACCTCAGGGCAATGGCTGTGAGACAGGTGTGATCTGCACTTACCAGACAAGGAAACTGAAGCTCGGGATGCTTGAGTAACTTACCCAGTTTGCAAGGCCTACAGTGGTCAGGTTGGGATTCCGGCCCAGGTCTGTCTGATGCCCAAGCAGAGGCTCTCAGTTGCTTCTCTAGTAGCACGTGGCTTTATGTTGGGAAGGTGTGAGGTGATCTGTGTGGAAATGGAGCCCACGGACTATGTGCTAACCCGCTAAGTCAAACATGGATTATGGTCATCATAAAGGGTTTACATGTTCACAGAGTTCAAATATACCACTGCTAAGGGGTGAATTTTAAGTGGTGAAGTTTAAAATCTTAGTATTCTCCTTTCTTTAGTCTAAAGAAGAGTAAAAATCCTAAATTCAAAACATATCACACTATAGTTAAGGCATCACGGGCCACTTTTATTTCAATGTCTTTTCAGTTCTCTCTTTTTTTTTTAATAGATTTTTGCTATAGGGTGCAAGTGTTCACCGGAGAGACAAGAGAGAGAGAAATTACCCCCCAGAGAGATGGCCATGCTACAATTCCTTCTCCTCCATTCTCATCTCAGGGTTTTGGGCACACATGCGCACATACCCGGCATGAGTTAAGCTGCTGGGTCTGGGACTTGAACCACAGTGAGCCATGTAGGAGTCCAACAATGTAACCATTATACAATCTGCTTGTCTCCAGTTCTAATTTTTATCTCTTGTGTACTGTTTGCAATCCTTATATCTGAACATTTCCTTACGAATTCCTAGCTATGAGATTTCTATCTGTATCACTCAGTGGAAGACAAGAAAGGAGGCCTGACATCTCTACTTCAGCAGCAGACCCCACTTTGAGGCAAACTCTCCTGAAAGAGTAATTGTGTGATCTTCTAATACACCATTGTAAGACAGGCAGTTATCACCACTGTGAAAATCCTAGATGAGTAATGAGCAGGAGGCCACGGCCCTGTGCTGGCCAGCAGGAGGCCACGTCATCATGCCGGCATGTGGGGGCCCATGGCACTGTGCTGGCCTGCAGTGTGGGAAGCCACTTCCCTGTGCTACATCTGAAGATGACTGAGAGACAGCTGTCAAGAGGGAAATTCCAAGGAGCCATGTAATTGTCGTTTGATTTACTTCTGCTATTCCTTTTGGGGAGTAAAACTACAGTGAAACAGCAGAAGTCACTCACTGATTTGCTTAAAGTTAGTTTATTTAGTTATTTCATGGGAGAGAGAAAAAAAGAGAGCCAGAGTCAGAGAGAGAGAGAGACAAGTAGCCCAGCAGGGCACTCGTGCTGCGCTCACCTCCCCCCGCCCACATCACAGGTATGCCCATGCCCACTGTGTGTGGGGAGGCCCAGGATGTGAACCCACGACCTTCCCCCATGGGTCCACCGCTGCGTCACCCTCTGGCCCCTACACCCCATTTGTTTTCACCTTACTAATTTTTACTGATCTCTAACCATTATTCTGTTGGATTCTACCTGACAATTCACAGATTCCTGGAGCCTTATTTGAAGTGTTGGCATTTGCCTAACTTTGCAGCTTTAAGAGAATGACAGCTTTCTGCAGAGCGAGGTAGTGACTCAAACTGTAGGCTTGAGGGACCAGCAGTTAGCGTAATGGATTTGTCACTGGACTCCCATGTAGTTGATCGCGGTTCGCATCTCAGACCTGGTGGCTTAAAACTCACATCGGGCACATGTGCGTGCCTGCCCAAGATCCTGAGAGGAGAATGGAGGAGAAGGGATTGTGGCATGGCCATCTCCCCTGGGGAGTGATTTCTTGTTTTCTGTCTCTGTCTGTCTGGCGAGCGCACACACCCTGTAGCAAAAAAAAAAAAAAAAAAAACTCTCAAAAATAAATAAATAAATAAACTATAGGTTTTCACCATATCTAGAGGAGAAAAAGGTATCTAGATTAGAAATTGGTCCTTGTAACTGGACCACTAGTTCTCAATCGAGTTCCACTGCATAGAACACACCAGAAATTTGTCATTGCCACCTCCACGAAAATTGATATTAGCAAAGTAAAAATCCCAAAGCACCTTACCGATGCTTACTTCAAGAAAAAGAAACTGCAGAAGCCCAGACACCAGGAAGGTGAGATCTTCGACACAGAGAAGGAGAAATACGAGATTTCAGAGCAGCGCAAGATTGATCAGAAAGCTGTGGATTCGCAAATTTTACCAAAAATCAAAGCTGTTCCTCAGCTCCAGGGCTACCTGTGATCCGTGTTTGCCCTTACAAATGGAGTTTATCCTCACAAATTGGTGTTCTAGATTTTTTTTGCCAAGAACCTAATTAAATATCTGATCATATATATATATATATAAAAGAAATTGGTCCATGATATACTTTCTGTCGATAGTACCAAATACACAAATACATGTAACTTCACATCTTAAGGTGATCTCACCACTATACATTTCAATTTACTTGTAAGAGGCAAAGAAAGAAAGAAAAGAAAAGTCGTGAATGTTGTAAGTATCTGCAGTAATAGATCTCTACAGGGCAAGCCATTGCTTTAGGATATGGAAGAGCCCAGCTGATGACCAAGGAGTCTCTCGCTCTCTCCCAGAGGCCGCTGAATGTTAAATAAAGAATGTGTCACCACAAGGCCACTTGTATCTCGATTGTTTTCTCATGCAAGGCTTCTTAAACTTATTTGGGCCTTGGGCACCTTTGTGAAATTTTCTAAAAGTTACAAAGACTCTTCCTATAAAAATGTACATAATAGCATATACATAAAAAGTGGCCGTATAATGTCAGGGTTTTAGAACTCCACAGAATAGTCCACCATCCCCAGAGAACCTGTGGGTTTCTTCCAGAGGCATTTACTGCTGCCGCCATTGAGCCTCACTGGCCACATTACCCACGTATACCTTTGATTTGGACAGGATTAGGAAGCCTAGTGCAGAGAACACCCACACAAATCCACTGTCCTTCTCTTCTCCCTTCCCTTCCTTCCTCTTCTCTTTAAAAACCAGTTCGTAGTTGGGAACCAGCAGTTAGCGTAATGGCTATGTCGCTGAACTCCCACGTAGTCGACCGCAATTCGCGTCCTGGACCCGGTGACTTAAAACTCACGCCGGGCGCATGTGCATGCGTGCCTAGGATCCCGAGAGGAGAATGGAGGAGAAGGGATTGCGGCGTGACCATCCCCCCTGGGGGGTGATTTCTCGCTTTCTATCTCTCTGTCTCTCTCTGTCTGTCTGGCAAGCGCACGCGCCCTATAGTGAAAACCTCTCCAAAAAAAAGAAAAAGAAAAAACCAGTTCGTAGTTCACAGCACACCTGCTGTAGCTCACGTATTCCTGTGTGATTTTGAGGCTTTGTCGACTGAAATCATTCAGTGTGACACTGGAGGAAATATCTGAGAAAGAGCACCAAAATCAACTACTTTTAAAAGATGTTTGTTCATCTAAACCTCCACATCTATTGAGCAGTCGTTTACACTTAGAAAATATTTGAGTTCCTGAAGTGGCCTGATTCCCTTGGCCCCAGAACCAATGTAGTTGCTGAAAAAGTTCATGATAGGGGGCCAGCAGGTGGCATGGGGGTTGAGGGGCTGGACTTCCACGGGACTGATCACAGTGTGAGTCCCAAACCTGGTGCGTTGCTTTCTCACTTTCTCTTTCTCTGTCTCTCCCTAGTGAGGGTACACACCCTATAGGAAATTTTAAAATAATAATAATGATAAATAAAATGAAATGAAGAATTCCTTAAATTAAAAAGAAAGAAAAATCTCATGATAAAGCATTTATCAATTTATTTCAAGGACTCTTTCTCTCTCTCTCTCTCTCTCTCTCTCTCTCTCTCTTTTCTCGATTTTTTTCCTAGAGAGCATATGTGCTCATCAGAGAGACAGAAGCAAGAAATCACCCTCAGGGGAGGGATGGCCACATCGCAATCCCTTCTCCATTATACTCCTGGAATTTTGGTCACACACACACATGCACCTGACATGAGTTTTAAGCCACTGGGTCTGAGACTCGAACCACGGTTAACCATGTGGGAGTCCAGAGACATAACCACTATGCCACCTGCTGCCCCAAGGACTCTTTCTGTTAATATTCCATCAGGTCAGTCTGGCCTGTTAGGAATCAGTGTGTCACAGATCAGAGGTATGTGCTTTCTTCCGGAAGGCAGAGTGACTTGGATGTGCCGTTGGGTTCTGTGTAAGAAGGACTCCTACAGGTGACCTCAGCAGCCATACAACCAACTGTAATCTCTGGCAGATGTGGCTCAGATGTCGTGTGACTTTCTGGCGTTAAGTTGTCTTCATCAGTTGGCACTGAAAACCCGGGGCCGTTGTATGAAATGCTAAAGGATGCTCCACGGCTGCCCCACGCGTGGCGTGTCCCTCCCACCTGGCAGGTTGTCGCTCTGAGTTGCGCCCGCAGCCTTCAGCACTGAGAGATGCTCTTGCTGCGGGAGCGTTGTGGAAGCGTCTGGGCTGCTGTTAGCCTTGCAGGAAGCGATTTCTTACTGCGGGGTGAAGTGCCCTGGCCTCGCCCTGGCTGACTACGGCACCCTCCTCTGTCCCTCCGCTCCCTGCGCTCC